CAAGCACAGCCTGCTCCTCAACGAAAGAAGCGTGGTCAACAGACACTTCATTCCCCAGGTGACAGTAAATGTAGGAAAGTAGAATCAACTGGTGGAGCTGTGCAGTCAGGTGTCACGGAGAACACTAACTCCAACCTGGACCCTGAAGATCATTCATCACCGACAGAATTGGAAGACAACGGTACATCAAACACTATTCTAGGTGTAACATTGAATGAAGCAAAGGTGTCAGAGACTGAAACAAAGAATGATCACGACACAAATCAAAAACGCTGCAGGACAGGTGATCATAGAGGTGATGATGACATTGAATATTTGGGTACAACGTCAGGCTCCCCTGTCAAGAAACCCCGTTGGCAGCCTCAACTTGAAAATGACAACACAATTGTAACCTGTGTCACAAACACACACTATGCTTATCTGTACACATTTCTAGAAGATGTAGAAAGGAATCGGGATGTGATAAGGGTCCTGCGACAAGTCCTAGCATTTTCTAGGTTCTGGAACAAGGACTGTACCAACAAAGGCAATCCGTGCTTGTCACTCATTGAAGAGGTCGACAAGAACTGGAATCTAGATGCAATTAAAGCAAGGAACTGGGTTAAATGTTCTGTAAATACTGACGTGCTGAGCTTGAACCAAGACCAGTCAGTTTACATAAACCTCATCGCAGCAGTACTTGTTGGAGCATGCCATACCAGGACTGAAGTACAGGACTTTGTGAAAACACTGAAGGATCCTCCTTCACACCTGCAGCATGTACAAGAGGACGTCCCCCTGTCACGTGGCTGTACATACACAGTTGGCTGCTACACCATCAGAGGAGATGTTCTGTCTCGCCTGGAAACCAACGAGTGGCTGACAGATGAAGTAAGTAGTCCACCTGCAATATTTACACAATCACAAAAAACTACATGCCTAGTTAACCATCCAAGAAAATCATTTCATAGAGCATGGGAGGCTTTCGATTTCATCAAATGATGTTAGTATTAGATATAAACTGGGGGCGTGAGGGTGGTGAGTGGTTCAGTCACCTAATACTCATTGATAGTGCCTTGAGGTAGGCGAGCTAGAGCTTGAGTTTGGTTAAACGCCTCTTTTTGACAGTAGTGTCATGGTGCGTTGGATTAAATTATGAAGAAAGTAATGCACATCTTTGACGTTAACCACTTTGTTGATTCCCATGGTGAATCTGCATATCGAAATGCGGCGCCTTGGACCACTGATACCCCATCTTAAGATTAATACAGCAACTTTTGGCGGTTTCTTCTTTTTACACCAGTATTAGTTAACTATCAATTCATATAATGGTGCTAATTATCAACTCATTGCCATGCATCTCGATTCTGCAATGATGGCACTACTCACCTGCAATGGGGATTGTTCACAAAATCTAGTACATCACCAGTCAAATTGTCAGTCATTGCTATCAGCCGATATATTCTCTTCATGATGAATATGTGATGTGCAGCGGATCCTGCTTTGATTTGAAATTACAAGCGTTCCTTTTGAAGCAAACGCATTGGGCGATTAAACAGTATAATAAACATTCGAATAAATGAACTCTTTCCTGTCCAGATCATGGACACATACCTGCACCTCCTGGAGGGAGAGTGGTGTTCCCGTGTCAGCTTCCACTGTCTGGTGCTGCCTACAGAGACAATCCTACTGTGGGAGGCAGGACAGTACACAGACAGAATAAGGGGGAAAGATGTGAGTGACGTGAGATTTTTATATTTCTTATAATTCTTTCATTCCGAGTGTACCATTGCATGTCCACCCTACCATGAACATGGGCAAGACTCGAAAGATATTTTGCAGTAATTGTATATTTTTTGTGATAACATATGATTTGTCTATGCCATGATTGCGTATTCAGTATGCTAGAAGTTGTCACTTGCAATTGTGCGCACGAAGCGACCATATGCTGCAATGGGTTTCAATTGAGTCAAAGCCAGTAACCCCATTGATCATAATGCTATTCGTTTTCAATATGCAGTTTCAAAAGCAGATATTGCACATGAACATATTCGTCTTGCTACATATTATTTTACGAAGTGAAAATCTGGTTGTCAGAGAGGGGTCTTTAGAAGTTCTAAGTTCCAAGTTCATGATACCAATTCACTAATATCTCTGTTACTGCATCATATCCATCTTATGTGAAGCACGTGTTTCTTGATATATTGATCGTACACCGGAAAGGCATTTGTTGTGAACTTTCAGGAAAATTTGACAAACTACACGTGGATCTTAATGCCAGTAAACATGCCACGTAATCAACATTGGGTGCTACTGGTGGCTAATGTCAAGGATGGAACAGTGGGCGTGGTTAATTCTAAACCCTCCTTAGATGTGGAGGACAAGGTTGTACAACACTGGAGGTAGGTGGACAGAACAGTGGGCGTGGTCAATTCTAAACCAGCCTTATGTGTAGAACACCCATTTGTACAACACTAGAGGTAGATAAAAAAAAGAAAAGAGGACGTGTGGCTGCACATTATAAATGTTAAAACCAAGCTATCCAATTTGAAATGTTGAAATGTTGATTTCTCAAAAACAAACATGAATGTAAATAAGATCCATCGAAAAATGTTCGATACACCCACATTTGTAGCTTTTACTTTTGGGTAGAAGATATAGAACAACTTGTTCACAGGGTTACCCAAATGGGTACACTGTGGGAATGATTTAAACGCCATAAATACAGTTATGTCACTCATTCATTTAAACCATAACATCTGTATTTGCTAACATAAAACCTAATTATGGACAAAGCAGGAGAGAACATCAGAAATGCCAGGACTGGATATTTTAGGCACTGCTGTATTTACCTTCTGTTCTACCATTACTTTAACACCAGTCCACATGAGTTGAAGACTTTATTGCCATCGAGTAATATACATGTATTCCTCAGGCTCTTTGTAAACCACTTGAAATCTACGTCTAAAGAAGGGAGCAAGTCATGGATGAAGAAACAGTACCCAGTGATAGAACAGTCTGATGGACACAGCTGTGGGATATTCGTTCTGATGGTAGGTTGGTTTGAAGCTATGTTTTTGATATGAAAGGCAACATGTGTCTCAATAACCACGTATGAAAGATACCTTTTCATTTCTAACCTTCATATTCTCAGGCTGCTGATGCAATTTTGTCGGAGAGGTCTCCAGGCATCATGAGGAACTGTCACGTTGAGAAAAACAGGCTGTATGTGCTTCAGAGGATACTACAGTATGCCAAGGACAAGGGAGATATGCAAGGTGGAGGAAATCACATGATGGCAGTTGATGGACAGGGTAATGTCACAAACGAAATTCAAACTGTAACGCTGGAGACAAGAGATGTACTGGAAAATAGCTGTACAATGACAACAGAACAAGGAGGTCCAACTATTCATGAAGAGGATGGACATGAAACACATGAAGGACCCGACTGTGCTATGGCCAGTGATGAAAGTATGCATTCTGGAGATCATTACTATGTTACGTAATTGTAAGTCGTTACGCAAGGTATTATATTTTAGATCTACATGTTCAATGTTGTACACTGCTTTCTAACAAACGCTATTTGTTTTCACAGATACAGAGGACTATCCATGTTTGGATCAGCACCTGTTGCATAAGCAGGAGATGGCGTGCTTGTTAGTGGTTGCTTTGGCGGAGAATAACCTGGAGGAGAGGATGCTATGGGCAGGGTCTGACACAGGGACTCGCGTGGAAAGAGAAACCTACAAAAAATATATTGTTTGGGCACTTAAGGCTTTTGACATCAATGAAGAAGAATACACTGAAAATGTGATGAAACCTATTTTATCCCAATTAACGGGATGCTGTCTCCATCATAAAGCAGGCTCATATCGAATAAGAAATCATAAAGTAGCAATAAAGCTAAGAGAAATACTGCTACGTGATGTTAGGCAGTTGGTTGAAAGGATGGATATCGAGTTCATATTTCGTTATGTGACATTTAGAGATGATCCAACTGAAGAGGAACAAGTAAATGTGTCTTTCAACCTCGAATTGAAACATGATGATCTGCATATTGTAGCGAAGCGGTTTGCTACAGCTTTACACGGCAGAAAGTTTGCCTTTGTGTGCATGCATTCCCTATTCAAGGTAGAGACATTTGTTGATATGGTTTGGGAGAAATTGTTGCATAATATGAACAAGGACAGTTGTGTACTGTTGAAAGTATTGTCAAATAATGACATTGTACATGGATATTCCTTTCTGTTTTGGGCGAGCATCACAGACAACTCACATTTGTTGAGGAGAGCATTGTTCAGTGTTCAATTGAATGCAGAGAACAGAAAGGAAGCTTTGTTTGGAAGTTGCTTTGGGAATAGTTTAGCCAACTTCGATTACCTGTTTTCCAATAAAAACTGGAAGTTGGATAAGTTGTGGATGACACTACCCAAACTCCCAAGACCTCTTATCATTAAACTGCAGTTGGCAGTTGTAGATGATCTGGGAGTAAAGTTTGGTAAATGTTCACTTTTGGACATTGCCTGTATGGGTGGGTTGTCTGCAGTGGCTTCCAGACTGTTACATTTGATGAAGACGAGCAAGAAGAAAAACAAGTCAAGAAAGAATACATATGTACATTTTGCATCCTTGTGCCTAAAGGGCAAAGATACCATGGATACAATTACGAAAATGGGAAAACTGAATGTCAATATAACAGGCCCTGAAGGATCAACACCTTTACATTACGCATGTGCAGTTGGAAATGTTAGCATTGTAAGCTATCTGTTAAAGGAACTAGTGGAAATTGGTAAGCAAAACAAGAAGGGTGAAACTGGGCTTCATTTGGCATGTATATATGGGAATAGAGAAGTTGTTACAATGTTATTACAGAACAAGGGAATAATTCAATTGAAAGATAATGATGGCTGCACACCTCTACATCTTGCATCCTGGCAGGGACATAGGGAGGTTGTGGAGGTGTTATTACAGAACAAGGCCAATGTGAATGAGAAACGTAATGATGGCAACACACCTCTACATGATGCAGCCTCCCAGGGACATAGGGAGGTTGTTGAGGTGTTATTACAGAACAAGGCAAATGTGGATGAGAAACGTGATGATAACGGCACACCTCTACATCGTGCAGCCTGGCAGAGACACAGGGAGGTTGTGGAGGTGTTATTACAGTACAAGGCAAATGTGAATGAGAAACAGAATGATGGCGGCACACCTCTACATAATGCAGCCTACCAGGGACATAGGGAGGTTGTGGAGGTGTTATTACAGAACAAGGCAAATGTGGATGAGAAACGTAATGATGGCGGCACACCTCTACATCGTGCAGCCTGGCAGGGACACAGGGAGGTTGTGGAGGTGTTATTACAGAACAAGGCAAATGTTAATGGGAAACAGAATGATGGCGGCACACCTCTACATGACGCTGCCTACCAGGGACATAGGGAGGTTGTGGAGGTTATATTACAGAACAAGACAAATGTGGATGAGAAAGATAAGAAAGGCCGCACACCTCTACATCGTGCAGCCTCCCAGGGACATAGGAAGGTTGTGGAGGTGTTATTACAGAACAAGGCAAATAAGGATGAGAAACGTAATGATGGCAGCACACCTCTACATGATGCAGCCTACCATGGACAGAGGGAGGTTGTTGAGGTGTTATTACAGAACAAGGCCAATGTGGATGAAAAACGTAATGATGGCAACACACCTCTACATCTTGCAGCCTGGCAGGGACATAGGGAGGTTGTGGAGGTGTTATTACAGAACAGGACAAATGTGGATGAAAAAAGTAATGATGGCAACACATCTCTACATCTTGCAGCCTACCACGGTCATAGGGAGGTTGTGGAGGTGTTATTACAGAACAGGACAAATGTGGATGAACAACGTAATGATGGCAACACACCTCTACATCTTGCAGCCTACCATGGACATAGGGAGCTTGTGGAGATGTTATTACAGAACAAGGCAAAGGTGGATGAGAAACATCAAGGCGGCAGCACACCTCTACATCTTGCAGCCGACCAGGGACATAGGGAGGTTGTGGAGGTGTTATTACAAAACAAGGCAAATGTGGATGAAAAAGATAAGGAAGGCCGCACACCTCTACATGATGCAGCCTGGCAAGGACATAGGGAGGTTGTGGAGGTGTTATTACAGAACAAGGCAAATATGGATGAGAAAGATAAGGAAGGCCGCACACCTCTACATCATGCAGCCTCCCAGGGACACAGGGAGGTTGTGGAGGTGTTATTACAGAACAAGGCAATTGTGGATGAGAAAGATAAGGAAGGCCGCACACCTCTACATGATGCAGCCTGGCAGGGACATAGGGAGGTTGTGGAGGTGTTATTACAGAACAAGGCAAATGTGGATGAGAAAGATAAGGAAGGCTGCACACCTCTACATGATGCAACCTTGCAAGGACACAGGGAGGTTGTGGAGGTGTTATTACAGAACAAGGCAAATGTGGATGAGAAAGACGATAAAGAAGAAACTGCTTTACAAAAAGCAGAGGCACAACATCACGATGATATTGCAAGGATTATAACTGAGGCAACAAATATACATGACCTGACAAGCAACCATGGTACAATTATAGATAGGTAAGAGCAATGTGGAAATGATGCTTTAGTTGACAACCATAGCACATATATTGTATACGCTGTTTTGCAGAACAGTTTTGAAACCCCACGAAACCATATGAGACCTCGAAGAGGACAGTACCATCAGACATTTACAAAATATCTATCATTTATCTAAGAATATAGACAGAGCATTTCTACAAGGCCCCCCAAACAACATACTAAAAGTCCCAAATCAATCAATCAAATATGTCATGAGAGACCAACAGTGTATTGATATTGAATGTCTGTCCATGTCTTGGAGGTCATCTTGGAATTTTGGGCCAGTCAGTTAGTGTGACAAGTTTTATGCACATACGTCCAAGCACACTGTTTCAGATATAAAAGCTTCAACAGTCTAAACTCATATTTAGGAAATGTGTCGGCCATCTTGAAATTGCCGGCCATCTTGATGTTTTATAGATTTGTCAATAGTCGAAAACGATCAATAGTTGTGAATATCATTTTAAAACCATAATATGACTATTTTGCAACAGAACACATGCTGTTTTTCATGAAAACACTGAACCTCATCTGAAATGTGGAAAATACTATTGACAGTTGGTTGCCATATTGGATTATGTAAATTAGACATATTTCCCAAACTGGGATTGCTTGGGACTTTAAGTATGTTGTTTTGGGGACCTTGTAGACATGCATTGTGGTGAGATGAACTTTATTGCTATTTGTTCCAAGTGAAACCTTATTTTCCATGGGCTACATATGTCAATGGGGACTTTGCAAAAACGATGAAATTATGTTTACCAATATTTGAACTTAATTAGGCTTCACTGTGTATACTATTGAATGATTTCGCTGGGAGCTTTTACATCTTGATTTTGTATTATATGTCACAATAGCATCATTATTTTGATTAAGTCCTATTTTCTCTGAATTACCGTGTCAAGTGCATGTGATATTGTTTCAGGGTGACAACCGATGGCCAGTTTCTTATGAAATCATCGTCAATTCCACACGGAAGCTATAACAATGGCGGTTGGCTTACATCCACACCACTAACATCAACGTGCCCCGTGAACCAGACATCAGTAGAATTGCCAGGGGTGTATGTTCCGGGCCACCTGGGACAGGCAGTTTCCACAGACAGACAAAGAGTTATGGAAGAGAGATACATCGCCTTGCAGTCATCCCAACCATATCATATAGACGGAAATCTTAACGACCTCCTTACAGATCCTGCACGCTTGGAGATATGTTCACCCAATCAACGATCAGAAACCATATATGGAATCTCAAGTCATGTTCACACATATGTCCATGCTCTAGTAGTTGGTGACACAGTGCCTAGTTCAGATAACACTAGTAATTCTGAGAATACCATCATTCACTACACTGAGTCTGGGGAAAAGATAGAGCTGCTGCAGCTCTAAAAGTGGTCTAGAAAGGAGTTATCATTGTTATTATGGTGTCCAGTGTTACAGTTTACATAAACAGTTTTACAACCTCCATTCGGAGTCAGTCGTCCGAATTTGGTTTGCAGAAAATAACGAGTTATTTGTCATTTGTGTCGATGTAGCATTGATGTTTCGGTAAGCATATCAATTCCATAAAAAAAACATTTTACTCTACAAATGCTAGGGCTAAGGTAACTTCATGACGAAAAAATCCTTTATGTTGCTTAGAGGATTACATAATAGAGTCTTTCAAATGTTCCTAACTGGACATATGCTCATTTCAGTGTGTACCGAACTTTCCTGTATTGTTTTAAGTTGAATTGATGAGTGTGTGAGTTGGATTTAACGCTGCTTTTAACAGTATTCCAGTAATATCACGGCGTGTCAGCTTAATGTGGGAGGAAAGCCCGAAGTGATGGCGGTGTCAGGCGTTTACCACTTCAGTGAAACCAAAGAGCACGGGTATGGTGCTGACAAACCTAGGAACATAATCTAGGCGAACCTGGATTCGAATCCACAATCATAGGTCTCTGGCGTGCCCAAGGTACGCAACTCTGCACGGCGAATCGCGGCGCCTTAGGCGACTGGGACACCCGTACCCCCGTTTTATGTTGAAAGTAGTGGGAGTGATTTGTGTCGATGTAGTTTTGACGTTTCTGTATGCATTTCGATTCCATAAAAAACCATTGTACTTTACAAATTCTAGGAACATGGCTAACTTTAATGTTTAGAAAATTACATAACAGTTTCTTACAAATGTTTATAACTGGACATGTGCAGATTTCAGTGTGTTACGAACTTTCTTGAAGCAAAGTGTTTTGTTGAAATTAGTGGGAGTGAGTTCAGATTGACGTACACAATGAATGTTTGCAGCTACATGTCACTGTGTAAAATATGTACTTGCAGGAACACGTGGGTGTCTTTCTATCATAGTCAGTATTGTCACTTTGATTTGTTTCTGCACCATTTCCAGATTCAGACTTGTGAAGTCTCACTCCCGAAGCCATGTAACCCGTTGAACATGCCATATAGACTTTAAAGTATGTTCCTCATATTCAGGAATATGATGATTGTTTTATTTCAAAGCAATTTATCCAATTGATTTCCATAATGTCTTGGCAAACATGAAAATGCTAAGATGAAATAGAATTCTTTGAGCTGTGTCCCTTGAACAAATACAGACTATATAGCCATTGGGAAAACCAACCAGTATTACATTCTTCCATGATATCTGACATATTCTAATGTGAAAAAAGTATGTGATAGATCACTGAACGAATCCCCGTAAGATATCGCTTTTATTACAAACTGTGTATCTGAAAACGTATCTAAGGAGCGAATGATGTTGGAAGCACTATTCTACTAATATTCATGGTGTAATTAATATACTTGTATTATCATATTACTCTTGTTAGTGATGCGTTAGTTAAATGGCCTGTTATGTATTGCCAATAGTTGACCCATTGTATAACCCCTTTGTGACTGTAGACCTACAATTATGTTTTACAATAGAAGTTGTTTTTTATTCATTTGTATTTTGTGCTGATTTACTGATTTAGCAATATAGTTTGAACCGTTTTCTATTATTGTTACTTGAATGCTCGACATGGGTGTTTTGAGTTCAATTTATAGTCCCCAAAGTTAAAAGGTAGAACTAATCAAGATCCAGGTCGAATTTAAATATTTCGGAGAAGTCGAACTATTTCTTTGGTCCCCAGGAGTTCGAGGCAATTGGTCCGATTGTTCCTTTATGAGTATATATCTGAATATGTATACAGTTAGAAAAAGGTGCTTATCCAACCGCAGTGAAGTCAAACAGACTGAGCCATACCAGTGCAGCGTGTATCATAATCAGAACCAACCACGAACTATATTCACTATCCTGATCTAAATATACACTTTCCCTGTAAAAAAAGACAAATAAGTGTCTTTGTTAATTATATTCAAATAAAGAGAATACGCAAAACCAAACCAAAACAAACTAACAATTGAAGGAAGTTATCCAGGTTACATGGCATAAATAAGCATCATGTTTTGCAAGCACATTACATGAGTGATGATCATCATACATTGTCATCATACACCATTGCATTTGTAAATACCTTGCTCTGAAATAAAGTGGGCTAGACCGCCTCCATTGTCGTATGGGTAGAGTTGCAGACAGACTTATTTCGTATGTGTGGCCATGAGGCCAATAGCACACTGACCTTTTGTTGTAAAACAATTCGTCGTGAAGCACCACTTGTATACTGATTAGATCGTAGCTAAATATGGTGTACACAGTTTTATTAATATTCAATGTATTATCCTTCTTTCAAATATCTTTTAAACACAAACTGCAAGTCTGAGAAGAAAGTGGCTATTTTTGCTGTTCATTAACTGTACAAATGATGTTTGTGATGGATACGTAGTTAGGCAGGTATTTGATCCTTATATCCTCATATACTGGACATATCAATAAAACATGGTATTCATTTTCTTGGTTATATTTGCAGAAAGGACACATCGATGTTAAAACATCATTATCCTTGGAGTGTCTGTATAATTGTGTATTGAGGGTATGTATACCACGCCTGAACTTCGATAAGCATCTGCGTAAAGGGAGAGAGTATCTGCCCAGTAACGTTTAATTGTGGTGGTCTTGTTACCCCGCCTGGCGCTCAGCATTAAGGGGATAAGACTGGTCAATTTGTGGTCAGTATACTGTGTCAGAGTGGGGTAGTCATGTTAAAACGTCGGTATGGTGTATCAGTGGCTTGTTCTGTAAAAACGACATGAGCAGACACACATACATATACACACACGCGTGCATGCACGTCATTTCATATAAGTGCAATATTCTTGAACGCAACGTTAAACCTCAAAGCTCATTTTGCCTTGCCTCACCTCTACAGAGAATGAATCAAATAAGGGAAGAAAAAAAATGCCTGCTTATTTATGCTCGGCAAACGTATACTGAATATTGTTTGTGAAGTCAGGTCTGAATATTTTCGGGGTACGAGTGGCCCAGTCGTCTCAGGCGCCGCCGTTTGCTGTGCAGAGTTGCGTCCCTTGGGCACCATACCCATGCTCTTGGGTTTCACGGAAGTGGTAAACGTCTGAGACCTGCATCACTTCGGGCTTCCTCCCACATTAAACTGTCACGCCGTGATATAACTGGAATACTGTTAAAAGCGGCGTTGAACCTAACTCACTCACTCACACACTCTGGAGAATTAATTAGAAAGGAAATTTGATTCAGCCCCACTCACACCCGACATTGACGAAACATGGTGATTGTCCCTTGCCGATCTCAAATTATCAAGATTTCATTTCAATTAAATATTATCACAAGCCGCACCGCCACCGCCGTTACAAACATTATCCTGTCTTGCATCAAGTCAACAAAGTCAGTTGTAGACAATGTCAGGGATAGAAAAGGTTGAATAATGCATACCACGTTTACGTTAGCTGGTCAAAGGGAGGCAACTCCCTATATTATATTATTATCAGATATTATGTTAGCATTTGAAAAGTACGTATACGGAAGTGATCCTGACGAGACCTGGATGCTGTGGGTAAAATGCTTACAGGCGTATTGTCAATAGAAGCATCACCTGTAGCTGTTCGTACTGAGCTAAAATGACTTTGTTTTCTGAATGTGGCAAATGTACGTAATAATGACGAAAGGTATAATGAAATGAAGTGCACTGATTTTTAAACGGCTTTAAATGTTGTGTTTTGTGTTGAACTCATTTTCCAAAATGGAAATAGTATTTTCCTGTTTTAAATCATACCTTGAAGCAAATTTGTTCTTTATCTCATGTACATGAAACTTTGATCTTTTGATCACCACAACCATTGTACCTGTAACCAATGGTTCAGGTTGTGTGAAACGGAGAGAAAACGTTTATGCTTACTTATGCTATTTCTAGTGATATAAAAAGAGGGACGGTTTGAATATTTGAAACGATGTACAATATGAAGGTTGTATAGCACTGGGATCGAATTACGAATTACGAATATGTTCTGATTACTGACTTGAATAATTAGTTTTTTATTCAATTCAATTTAGAAAGTTTGTGAATTTCTGAGTAATTTATCATTATCACTGTGAGGTGGAGGTATTTGAATTCGTCAGAGATGTTCGTATGGATAAGAGCGACAAAACTCTTTGCATAATCACGAGAAATCGCTGTTGTAAGCCGACTCCATTTTACGATTCTGACTTTATTAAAAGCATCACTATGAACTTTCATTATTTCCGGGAGATATTTCCCATGTAAGCCCCAATCCGTAGCATTCTAAACTTAATAAATATACAACGCCAGAGAATAACCAGTCTTGATTATCTACCGAAACACATTCCATTGGGCGTAAAAGGCAAAATAGGGGGGAAAACTATAGGAATGGATAACTGATAATCACTGATGACACCACGTCTTGTGAAAGTGCACGCATGTCCTGCCCAACCGGTAGGAGTCGCCATTGGTACAATCTGACTCCACGTGTAGGAGCCGCCATTGGTACAATCTGACTCCACGTGTTCTTAGGGTAAACTTGCAAATGCAGAAAACACAAAGAAACTGTGATTTGATAAATATATTTATTTCCCAAACATGATGACTGATGATATGCCCCCTGTTTACTGATCGCTGTAAAGTAGAGGTGAGATTACAATATCTCTGAAGAAGGTTAAAAGGCATGACGATAGTCATGTTCGAAATGATAAAAACAAAGTTTCATTTCTTGTAATATTTCTCCGACCGAGGTGCAATTACACTGACAAGGAGGGCCGCCACTGCAGGATGTTGAGAATGTCCTCCCATTCGATCGTGCATCTCTCTTTACATGTCCATAGTGCTTTGACCAGGTCCAGATAGGTGGCCGAACTGCCATTCCACTGCTTCCATTTAGTGAGCATAATCAAGATCTGCATATACATTGAAGATGGGTGTGCAACTCTGCCCTGTTGGATAGCCACAACGCTGAGCCCA